CAAACGTTCACGTAATAAACTTCGTTCTTCATCCTTTTGTGAAAGATTTTTTTGAAGTTGATCAATTTGTTTTTGATAATCTTCAGATAGAGAATCACCCGAATTACTTTGTGTTGTTATCGATGACGATATCTTATCAATTTGATCTCGATTTGTATTTTGAAGTTCATCGATTTTCTGTAGAGCATGATCACGTTCGTTTTGTAAAATTTCAATAGCAGAAAGTAAATTATCCAATCGTTCGACAGTATCATCACTCGAATTAATAAATAATTCCGGTTTTTCATTAACAATTCGTTGAATTTTTTCTTTAATATTTTGTAATGCACGTTTCAATTTATTATTAATTTGGGCAAGTTTATCTTTTTGTTGTTCATCTGTTTGTGTCTCATTATCAACAGTTTCAGTATTTGGTTTCTCAACATTTGATACAATTTCAGAATATTTTTCATTCAGTTCTTGTAACTGTTCTTCACGTTCAACTAATTGAGATCTTAGATTATGAATTTCCCTGAAAATAACAATATATAATCGGTAATGAATAGTAAGTTATTGAAATATCTGATTTAAAAGAATTCATAGAAATGTTTCTTACTCATTATTGGTTAATTTTTCATTTTGAAGTTGATTTCTCTCTTCTATTATTTGTTCAATTTCTTGTACACTAAAAAAATATTTAATAGTAAAGAATTTGAATAATTTCCTATGATTGATCAAACCTTAATGTTGGTATTAATATATCTGATTTTGTTTTCAAAAGATCAATTTGTATTGCTTGTTGTTCAATAGCTGAAATTAAATGATCTAATCGTACGATAGTATCATCAGTTGACTCAGGAAATAATTCCGGTTGTTCAATAACTATTCGATTGATTTTGTCTTTAATAGTTTGAAGAGCACGTTTAAGTTTCGTATTAATTTGTGTTGATTTATCTTGTGGTTGATCATCTGTTTGAGTTTGATTATCAACAGTTTGTTTAGAAGAATCATCTTTTACAGATGAAATTTCATCATTATCTTCATTTTCTGTTTGAGTAAAAGTATTAATAGATATCGATTGATTATTAATGCAATCTAAAGAAATTACATTCGGAAAAAAAAGAAAAATAATTTATTAATTTACTAGATAAAACTCGTAAGTTTTCATTTTCATTTTGAACTTCTTCAATAATTGTTTTTAATCGAATTATTTCTTGTTCATTCGATGTCTGATCCTCTGTTGATATTTGTGGTATTGTTACATCTTCATTCCAATCATTATTTTCATTTTCTGTTTCTGTTTGAGTAAAAGTATTAATAGATATTGATTGATTATTGATGCAATCTAAAGAAATTATATTCGAAAAAAAAGAAAAATTACTTCATTAACTTACTAGATAAAACTCGTAAGTTTTCATTTTCATTTTGAATTTCGTCAATAATTGTTTTCAGTCGGATTATTTCTTGTTCATTTGATGCTTGATCCTGTGTTGATATTGTTGTATCTGCATTCCAATCATTATTCCAGTTCGAATCTTCAGAATTTAAATTACATTGAATATCAACATTATGTGATTTTTTGATTTCAACAGAGCCTAAGATGCACAAAATCATATACATTTTAAAAGGATTCGATTATGATGCTGTCGAAACTACAGTAGTATTTTTTCACATATATTCAATATGGGTACGTATATTATTTCTATCGATGAGACTAAATGAATCTCAGGAATTACTACTATCATAACAATGAAACTCGGAAAATATTTCTTGGTATGATCGAAATAGACACAGCGGATTATGTACCTCTTCGCCGAAAAACAAATCACTGAAAAGTCGAAATAGAAATCGACGAATTCTTTCAAGGGTTTATACCAGCATTCTTCTATTCGGTAACGATACCGAGAGAACAGCACCTATCATTCGACAAATACAATCATTAGTTTGGTCGATAGGTACATCACTGGAATTCTACCATCAGATTTTCAGCGAAGTGAATATATCTCGAAAAACTTCAGTAAATATCAACGAACTATAGATTAGAGAAAAAAAACTGTATAGAATCTCAAGAATAACTAGTATCCATATTTTAAATCTACCCAGACAGACAAAACTCAAAAAAAACGGAGAAATACGCGTCGAAATTTTGAACTTTTAGCGAAAATAAAATCGGAAAAAGCGCACATTTTTACGATTTTTATCTCCGTTAGCTTTGTCTACTGTGATTAACGTGTCGATAATCTGTGCTTAAAGCGTTTAAACTCACAAAATAATGTGTAAAACCACGTTGAATTCCGCGTTTCAACGAGTAACTACGGAGTAGATTTTAACGCAGTAGAACGCTTTCCAAAAAATTGCGTAGAAACACGTTAAGAATTCGTAAAAACGGTGTATTTACGAATTTTAGACGCGCTTTTTAGAGGTCTTGTCTGTCTGGGTAGTAAGAACAATTTCTTACCATTATCTTCTTTTTCCTGAAATTTTTCTTGATACATTTGTGCATTATAATCTTTTAATAATTCATTTTCATTAATAAGTTCATTAAAATCTAATTTTAATTGATTATATTCCTTTTCTAATTCTTCATATTTATTTTCTGTTGTTTGTTGATTTTCTTGAGTTAATTGTAATAAATTATTTTTTAATTGATTTTCATTTAATTCATATTTTTCAATTAAAGCTTTTGTATGTATCTGTTCTAATTCAATTTGTTGAAGTAATTCATCATTTTTTAATCGAAAAGAATTTAATTGTTCAATTAAATCAGTTTTTTCATTATTTAATAATTCATATTCTTGTTTTAATGCTCGTACAACTGTTTCATTATATAATTGTTTAGCTTCATCAGTTAAATGTTGAGTATAAAGAGAATGAAGTGCAAGTAAAGATAAATGATTCGATTCAAGATTAGGAAACGAAGTTAATGAAAGATTTTCTTTCGATAATATTTGTTGACACTGTTGATTAAGTTGATTAGAAACTTCAGTTGGTGATAGAGAAGATATTTCATTAATATATTCATTTAATCGATCATCATCATCATCATCATCATAATTATTCGATAACTTTTCAGCTTCATCCTAAACAATAAAAGAATGTATAGGTTTCAAACTGATTCTATGAAAAAGAAATTAACTTACAGTAGACCATAATTGATAGAATGATTCCGTTTGAATTTGTTTATCAATAGTATCGATTTGAATAGGATTATTTTCAAAAATGACTGGAGTTGTTGCAAGATTATTTTCATCAGAATTGCTTGTCATTTGATCATGAAACTAAAAAATAATTGTCATAGATATAATACAAAAGAGAAAGAAAGAGTAAACAAACTTCTTCGTTTGATACAATTGAATTTTGTTGTTCAAGTAGATTTGAAATCGATTGAGAATGTTGACCAACAACTATCGATCGATCATTTAATTGATTATTCAATGTTTCAATTTCAAGAAGTAATTCTTTATTTCTTCTATCAAATTCATTACATTCTTCTTTTATATTTAATAATTCTTCATTTAATTCTTTTATACTGTTAAGACAAGATTCTCGAATTAATTCCATATTATTGTCTGCTTCTACAAAAAAAAATACGAAATATAATCTCTATAGTGTATGTATATATATTACCAATTCGAATATCATAATTTGTTTTTTCTAATGCTTCATAACGTTCATTCAGTTCTTTTCGTTCTCGTTTTATTTCATCAACGATTTGTCTAACAGCTCCTTCAAATGAAATATTATAATCAACTGACACAATATCTTCAAATTCTGTTCGTAGAATATCAACATTTTCTTCATTGTTCAATGGAACAAACTCTAATTCATTCCCATTAGATATTTGTTTTGATTCATCTAAAATACACATATATATCGATATGAAGATGAATATCAATCGTACTTACCATTCATTTGTTGTTCTTCAAGATCATTAGTTTTATTATC